TCAGCTGCCCAGATGTCTGGTAAACAGGAACTGGAGGACCAGGATACAGAACTGTTTCAAGAGAACCCCGACTTTTAGCACTGTGCCCTAGCAAAGCCTGGCACAGAACACATGCTTGACGGACTAACGAAGATCAAAGAAACATCAGGCTGCTCTCTGCCAGCCACACAGTCATCTGAGGTGACAGCTATGGCTGAACTGCAACCTCCCCCGGTGGGCAAGTCTACAGCAAAGCAATGGGTGGGAAGTCAGCCCGTTCTGGGTGAAGGCCTGGGGAGGAGTCGCAGAAAGGCCTGGCTCAGCAGCACGAAGGTGTTAGCGGGGAGGAGGGAAGACCTGGCCAGTGGCTACTTTGGGAAACGGGGCTGCCGTGAGTTTTGAACTGTGTTCTTCCCAGAGCCTTAGTCAGCAGTGTGGATCCCAGAGCAGAAGGACAACAGGGTGGCACCAACTGGACAGAAGCTCCCGTGGGCAGGGGCCACGCCTATCTTGTTCACTGTCCATAGCTGAAGCCTGGAGCAGCGCCTGGCATGTAGGAAGAAACATTCATGCCAGAGTATGTGGGTCTGAATCCTACTCTGCCACCTAACGCCCGGGTCATGTTATTTCAGCCATGTACTTTGGTTTCCACATCTCTGAAATGGGGACAATAGTACTAGCTCCGAACGGGATGAAATGAGTTAGCACAAAAAGCGCCTCATCAGCACAGAGTAAGCACCTACAAGTACTTGCATTATTTGCGGGGATTCCTTTGGGGCCCGTTCCTGGTGAAGGACTCCCAAGCAGCACCTTCGCACCTCACGGCACAGGTGCACCTTGGACCAGCAGAGCCAGCACACAGAGGGTCTAGAGGCCCTAGGAAGGGGGTCTCAAGCCTTTTCCCATCAGGGAGAATGCTCTAGAAGACCTGCTGCCCTGAGCGTGCAAAGGGGCATGCTCAGTCTTTGGTCTACTTGTACCAGAATGCAAGACAGCGAGGGCGGTGACACGACCTTGAATCATGTCTAACGGAGAAAGTTGTTTGCAGACTTTAGTCCTGATACCCACCAATCCCAGTATCTTGGAGCTGCAGTGCCAGGCAACCAAGTCTACCCAATGACATGTACAAATACTGTTTTTTGTGTGTGTGTGATCCAATTTTATTTTGGACCCACAAACTCAGACACAGGAGGAAAAAGACTGTTTTGTTTCAGAATCAAAGAAGTAGACATTAGAGAAGTATTATATAACTATGTTGACAGCACAATGCCTTTTGTATTTCCTCAAAAAGCCACGGTGGCTTTGTAGTCAAGCACTGTCTCGTTTCCCCCCAAAGTGGCAGCACCAACATTTCTGCTCATCCCAACTATCCCGTAATGCCTGCCAGTTGCTAGGCAACTGTAACAGCGATTGCTCTCTGCCCACCCACAATGCACAGCTTTCATAATTGCTCTCATTGGCTTTGCCAATTACTCCCGGGCACTATCCTGCCATCCAAGGCTGCCTCTTCTAGCTCATCTTCTTGCCCACTTAGTACGGTGGTAAAATTCAAACACTGTATCTGTCACCATGTCCTAGTAATTTCTATAACGACAGGCTGCCCATCAGACACAGCATGATTTCACAGTAGGATCAAGAACTATAAATAGCTTTCCATAAAAGCAACCAGACAAAAGAAGAAATTATCAGCCAACATAATGTCTAATAACTTCTAATTGATTAGAATAATTTTGAGCAATTTTGAAATAAACAACATTAAATTTAGAAAAGGTTATATCCACAAACAAGTCTTTAGGTCACATGTACACTGTATGTTATATAAACAAAACAGATAGAGGCTTTAATAAGCTGCTTTCTTTCTTAAATTTTTTAATTGAATTTATTGGGGTGACACTGATGAATAAAATTAGATTTTGGGTGTACAATTCTATAATACATCATCTGTATATCGTACTGTGTGTTCGACACCCCTATGCAGTTACAAGCTGCTTTCCTGAATCTCAAGAGGCCTAATGAATATGAGCTTAATAATAACATGGTAGTTAGCAGCTACTAAAAATCAAGCTGTTGAGTAATATTTAATACATCACACAGTTTAAAAGGTAATCTCTACATATATTTTATTATCATCATCCTCCTTACTCAATAAGTAAGATAAATTTTTCCAAAATTTTAGTGGAAAGGCTAGTTAAGTGGCAGTCCCAAATGAGGACATGGACACTTGGACTCTACTTTGGTGCTATTTCCTCCATAGTATGTGGGCTGATTGAATAATATCACCATCTGAGATAGCTGGGTTTGCAAATGTTAATGGGGTTAAAGGTATTAAACCTAAAACCCCAAGGAGCTGTGGTCTGAAGCTGATAAGCAGGATGGCTGGGGAACAGGAGCGGGAAGATAAGCTTTCTCTGCAAACCCTTTTCCGATTGTGTGCACATATTACCTATCTGAAGAAACCAGTGCTGTAAAGGGCTCTGATGTACACGTGTATTGGTCACTAAGCATAAGCCACGCACAGTGTCAGATGTTGAGGATATGGAGATGGGTAAGGCCTGCCACCTGCTCTCAAGCAGCTCATAATATACTGAGCAAACAGGACCCATGAAGAACCAACAAGGAAGGTGTAAAAGGACCAAGCAAAAGGTGCAACAAAACACAAAGGAAAAAACAGTGAGTTATGTCTGCTGAGCTAGAAAAACTTTCAAACGGGAACACTTAAGATGGACCTGAATAACAAGCAGCACACAAAAAAAGACATAAACTGAAAACCTGAGAAGCAATTAGAAAATGAATGGCAGTTAGACTAAAAGGGATATTCATTCATTCATTCATGCACTCATTCATTCATTCTCTCCAGAGCCATTGCAGACCAGGCACTGTACTAGGCACTGCATTTGTTGGTCTGAAAGAAAATAGACATTAAACAATTACTAACAATCAGGATGAGTATTTTGATAGGAAAAGTATGGGAATTACAAACTCATGTTCTCTTAGAGTAGAACAAAAACTTCTGATGCAGACAATCCAATAAAATGGAAGCTTCCCTAAAAGTGGTTTTAGTGCAGATTTTACAATGCTTAGGGATGTGTCAACTGCACACTAAAATATGACCCAGGATCTGTGAAATATGTTTTCAGTCAGAAGCCCAATCATAATATAACGAAAGAGAGGAAATGAAAAACTGTGATTTATGTGCATTTAAAAGTAAAGTGGAAGATAAAAACTATATTAATTTTTTATAAGTATTTCTGTAAAATTTCAATCCCTGATCTCCAGTAGCCATTTTTCACATCTGTGAAACGCCCATTGGGTAAACAAGTCCCCACGCCTGGGCAGCCCACGCCCTCTGCGGCTGCGAGCAGGGAGGGGCAGGTTGATAGGACATTACGCACACGCTACAGGAAGTATGGGAGGTATTCCTCTGAAGTGATGAGTGCTTTCTTTAAGATCAGGAAATTAGACCTTTGAGAATTTTGCTTATCTTTTATGAAACTTATTATTTGTAACAGCTCTGCACAACCCAGTGACCGGTTCTCCAGGCCACAGTGCGGCAGTGTTACTCTCTCACTCCAATAAAGCTGCCCTCGTTGTCTCCGAACAGGTACAGAACTTCCCTTCTCAAACAGCCTTGGGAGCCGGAGGTTCTGTGCTTTGAGTACGTCCAAAGGTAGTTTTGCTTGACTATGAAAAAATAAACCTCAATTTTGAAAACAGACATAATAATTAAGAAATTATTTCAAATCAAGGTCGGAGAATAAGATGGATGAATCAAACTGGGTAGTAAATACCAATGAGGCCTGTGGAAGGCAGAAATCCCACGGCTACCCTCAGTGTAGACACCTTGTGTAATCCCTCCCCTTCAGTGGCAGCAACAATTGTCAATGTGATGGAATTTCTTTACCATAATTAGGTTACCAAACAGCCAATTAAGTTAATCAAAAGGTTTGGAATGATCATGGTGACCATTTCAGAAGTCCAGGTGATAAGCATCTGACCAGGGAATTTCAGGGACTGGACAAGCCAAGTTTGAGACATTTCAAGCATGAACAGGCTTTGATGGACATTTCCGAAGCATCCACATGCTCACCTCAACCACAGAACAGTTATCTTCCTGTTGTCATTCCTTCTGTGTCTGTTTTCTGACACTTCTGAAATTGTGAGCATCTCAAATACACTGTGCAAAGCTTACTGTTTTATTGTGTGTCCAGCACCCACGGGAGCAAGGACCTCAGTCAATGCTGCGAAGGCTCAAAGGAAGGAACAGGACAAGAGGACAGCCGGGCTGGAGCCTCATGATGATGTGGGCGGGTGCCCCTAAAGAAGAGAGGGATGTCGGGAAAGAATCTAGGCAGATGAGCTCAGTTTGGGATGTTTTGACTTTGAGATGAGGTAGCTAACAAAAACAACAAAAAAGAAGGAAGTTACTGGTTGGTGTCACTTACATCTTCCCTTGTTATGGGAGGGCTGAGAGAATTGGTTCTAAGCATTTTATAAATTACTGAAGTTACGTCTCTCAGATGTCCTTTAATGATACTGGCATGCTATGTGGGTAAAATCAGGCCATGACTGCATTCTCTATAAAGGGATTAGTTATGGGTCGCCTTTAAATAAGGCTTATGTCAGACACACGCATGCGCGCGCACACACACAGAAAACTAATGACAATTCATAAATCACTCTTTGGAGTACCATTCAGTATTGAGAGCAGGAGTTACTAACACATTTTAAAAACTCCTCCCATCAAGAATATAAGAACTGCCCTGGCCAGTTTGGCTCAGCGGTTAGAGCGTCGGCCTGCGGTCCGGAGAGACCCGGGTTCGGTTCCTGCTAAGGGCACATACTTCGGTTGCAGTTTGTCCCCGGCCCTGGTTGGTCGTGCGGGTGGCAGCCACTCGATGTGTCCCTTCACATCGATGTTTCTCTCTCTCTCCCCCTCCCACTCTATCTGTACAAAAAATGGAAAAATTTCCTCGGGTGAGGATTAAAAAAAAAAAAAAAAAAAGAATATAAGAACTATTTACCTTGTGACCAGAAACCAAGCGATCTGACTGAAGTCTGGAGAGGGTCTCATGTATGTCTTAATATGTGGCATGGCATGGCTGCGGCCAGATGTCTCAGCTGACCATTTGCTAGTGACAGGAAAGACACAAATCATGGACAAGAAAACACAATTCGGTCAAATCCTAATACTGGAAAACTTCATGAAAAGGAAAATCCTATGAGCTTAAAAACAATGAGTATACAGTTCTCTTTGATAAGACCTATGATACCTTATTAAACTCTGTTCAGGTAGCAGAATAACACATGTTCATTTTAGAATGTAGGTATATAGGAAAAAAAGTTACCACCACTCACAAAAAGCACCTTTTGGCACATGGTGTTGCTGGCTTTTTTGCCATAACTATATACATGTATGCAAACACTGTATTATTTCTGTTGGGCTTTTATTTTTATTTTTTTAATCCTCACCTGAGGATATTCCTCTATTTATCTTCAGACAAAGTGGGAGGGGGAGAGAGAAAGAAACATCAATGTGAGAGGGACACATTGACTGGTTGCCTACCGCATGACCCTGACCAGGGCTGGGGACCGAACCACACCAAGGCACGTGCTCTTGACTGGAATCAAACCCGCAACTCTTTGGTCTGCGGGCCGATGCTCTAACCACTGAGAAAACTGGCCAGGGCTCTGTTGGGCTTTTAACAGCATGTCTAGTCCAGCCAGTGTGGTTCAGTGGTTGAGCATCAACCCATGCACTAAGAGGTCGCTGGTTCGGTTCCCAGTCAGGGCACATGCCCGGTTTGTGAGCCCGATCCCCAGTGGGGGCCATGCAGGAGGCGGCCAATCGATGTTCTCTCTCGTCAATGTCTCTCTCTCTCTCTCTCCCTTCCTTGCTCTCTAAAATCAATAAAGAAAAAAATAATAATAACAGAGTCTGTACATCTTGTCTCCTAGCTGGACCGTGAGGTTTTAAAAGCTCTAATTGTGCTCCCACAACATATTACTGAGTAAAAGGCTCAGTAAAAGCTTGTTAATAGAACAAAATACAAAATGGGAAAAATGCAAACAGTATGAATAGCATAATGGAAAGCTGAAAAGCAGGGAGATAAATCAGAAATACTTGAGTCAAACGCTGGTATCTGCATATCTTGAATTTGGTTTCTAAGTTTCCAACATTGCAGCACTAAGGTGCCATGGGAAAAATGACCTATATCAGTAGGCAACAGTCCTTACTTAATAAGAAGATGGTCCCTCAGGAGAACAAACTGTCTATGGAACCCGATCAGGATCAGGTCCATCATCAGATTAGATTCACTTGAATGCAGACAATACTGAAAGGGCTCAAACTGAAGAAACATCCTCTGGAAGGAACAACCTCCCAAGAGCATTAAAGAAAGGCTCCAGATGACATCCTGAATTAGACTGCAAGCCACTGGGATGTGACCTGCCTTTGTTCCTGGCTGTCCAGAAAAATAAGTGGCTGCTGAAGTGTGGAACCGGAGCGAGCCTGGAGCACACAGATGTGCAACAGCTGCAGGAACAGATGTGCAACGGCTCCAGGACAAAGGACATTCCTGTCACTTGTCCATTCAATCATGTACTGAACTCTTATAACGAGCCAAACAGCACCCCGTGTGCCGGAGAAACAGTGCGAGGAGTCTACCCTCAGCAAGCTTGCAGGCACGCGATGTATGACTGTAGACGGAATGATTATATTTTACATACCGGAAATAGGAACTAAAAGGTACTTATGTAAATTCTAAATACCCAACATGTTCTTCTATTTAGCGCTTTCTTTGTGTGCCAATATATAAATAGAAATCCCACAGATAAAATTTTACTCTTTGGTATTAAAAATCTATTAAAAAAAAAAAAACAGTTCAAAACCTTGCTTTAAATTATTTCTATCACTAACATATGTAGCTAAAATATATAGTTATATAACATAAGGTTCTTTTTAAAAGACTGACATAAATAACACTCTTATTCCTAAAGAAGCAACAGCACAATTCTAAACCAATTACTTACTGGAAATAGGAATGAAGCCAATTCTGTTTTTCCGCTGTCTGGATGCTATAGGGAAGAGAGCCCCCAGCTTTTGAAAGAAGAAAAACAAAAAAATAATAAAACTTATGGGATATAATTTGAGGATCCATCATTAAGAAGAAAATCTACAGTAAACAACAGTGAGAAGGTAAAAGAAAAAAACAAAACTACTTCCATTACTTCATCTTAGCAAATACTTCACTGACTAGGTGATTTCTCAGTGAGGCTTAGGGATGCATATTAAATGCCAATGTGTCCTATCTTCAAAGGAACAGGTATTCAGTCACTGGGGCTGGTAGTTTAATATCTGCAACAGCACAGATGTGAAGTGTTGCAAAGAATCCTGGCCCATCCTGCCGTCCTCACGCAGGGCTGACATCCTCAGCTTTGCTCTGCAGGATGAGGTGTGGAGCCTGTTTCTGCCTGGGAGCAGGACAGCTGGGGCAGCCCAGGACAGGAACTAGAACCCGGTTCTCCTGCCTCCTTCAGCTGCTACTCTGACACTCCCAAAGAGACTTTGTACTAGTGAAACATTTACTACAAACAAGAGAGAATGGTCACTACGATAAAATAAATTAAAATGTCCAGGAACCAGCTCAGTTTTTTAAAAGGAATTCTAAAAGCCATATTCCTGCAAAGAAAAAATAAAGATATGTTTCCAAAAGGAAACTCAATAAGCAGCCAATTTTTTGTTCATCTTTCAGAGGAAAGTTCTACTGTAGCGTCATCAATCACTTTCCAAACACTTTCCATAGCAATCTCTACCCAAGGGGGGCTTTATACTTCTCCAACTTACAAGGCGGCAGGTAGCATCTCCCACTGCAAATTACTAAAAACACATTCAGGCCCTGACCCGTTGGGCTCAGTGGTTAGAGCGTCGGCCCACAGTCCAAAGAGACCGGGGTTCGGTTCCCGCTAAGGGCACGTACCTTGGTTGCAGTTTGTCCCCGACCCTGGTTGGGGTCGTGTGGGAGGCAGCCACTCGATGTGTCTCTCTCACATAGATGTTTCTCTCTCTCTTCCTCCTTCTCTCCCTCCCACTCTATCTGAAGATAAATGCAAAAATGTCCTTGGGTGAGGATGAAAAAAATAATAAAAAAAAAACACATTCCGGGTTCCAGTATAGCTTTATTGAAAATACCATGTTCTTCTCCTTTAAAAAGTATGCTTGGAATGGATCTAGCCTATTAGAAGTGCAGGAAGACAAAAACAAAACACCCCCCCTCCCACTGCCACCCCTGAGTCTCAGTGAAATAAATTTATCTCTGCCATCAGAAAGCAACAAATGGGCTAAAACACTCTAAACCCTATGGAGATTTTTTTCAGGCAGGGCCACATCCAGTTTGACAAGCAGTAAGTGGACGAAATCAGTCTAAATTCAGAGCCTTCTGCTTCTAGCCATAAGCGAATGCCAAGCAGACTTCCTTTTGCCCAGAGGCATACATTGTTTGGGTTTTTGGTCATTAACTCCTGAAGACACAATTTGGGGAACTGCTGAATTCCAAACAGAGGTTTAGTATCCAACTGGTATAAGAGAGACAGAGAATAGGGTGATGTCTACAAAACAATCCTTGGCATTTACAGATGAAGTCCTTGAGAGATTAGATGTATGGACCAGGCTATATCAAAGGTTGCTTCTCAGTACTAAACATTATGTTCTGAACCTTAAATATATCTGTATCCAGGATTCATATCTGAAAGAACCACACAGTGCCACAGACACAGGTAGTATGTGGAGAGAGGGGGGAGGAGAGAGAGATGGGGAGAGGGAAGGAGGGGGAGGGAGGAGAGAGGAAGCGAGAGAGAGAGAGATGGAGATCACAGCAAGGCATGTCAGCACTGCTCTGCACAGGCACTGAGCAGTGGAGGAAGCTGCTTTTACTCGGATGTGTTGCCTGGACAGCCAATCTGTTGGTGGCAGAGGTGACAGCAGCCTTATTGGCAGAAATGAGATTAGCAACCACGCAGAGGGTGACTGTGAGAATTAAATAACACAACCTGCCCATGTTCCTGTATCATCTCTGGAACATCATCAGTGCTCAATGTTACCTATTTCATGACTCTTACCCAGTGAAGATAAAAATCATCTCCAACTTTCTAACCCATACTTTTCTCATCCCAAGGAGGAAGGCATTCTTATTACTTGTTTTTAAAAGTATAGCAGGGCATTTATGAAACATACACAAAAAATACAGCCATGCCAGTATTCCCAACAATTACCTGGATACCCTTCTAAGCTGGTCCGCACATTTTCCACAGAAGGATAGATCTAAAAATAAATAAATAAAAGAATTAAACTTGGAAGGTACCATGTTGAAGAAACTATTTGTTAAAAGGAACGCTAACTAGTTTTTTTTTTTTTTTTTAATTTTTCTTTATTGATTTTAGAAAGAGGAAGGGAGAAGGGGAGACAGAAACATTGATGAGAGAGAACACTGATTGGCCACCTCCTGCACGCCCCCCCACTGGGGATTTGGCCCACAATCTGGGCATGTTTCCTGACCAAAAATCGAACTAGTGACCTCTTGGTGCATGGGCTGATGCTCAATCACTGAGCCACACCGGCCGGGCACTGATTAGTTTTTAAGAAAATAAACATTTCAATTAAAAATACTTAGAAATTTAGAAAAAGTGCTTTAAATTTTTAAAAGTTTCCATCTTGTGGGAAAAAATTGAACTTTGGGTAATTTATTTGATGATAAAATACTACATTCGATTTGAGTTTTTCCTCTGAAATGCCAAATTAACACTGAATTGAATGGAAAATTAACTATTAATTCAAAGGTGTCTAAATAATTAACAATGCTCATAAGTGGCTGGCACTACCTTATCAAACATTTCTTCCTCGGCATGACAGCCTAGGGAAGGAGCAACCACTGCAGACACTACGTGTCGGTAGCTGACACGGGGCCACATGATTACAAACACTGCTGTTTCCTCCCCAAACCACTGAATCAAACCTCTCTGACAAGGATGCAAATAATTAACTCAGGGAGGAGGAGCACTTACCAAATGGAGGGGAGCAGCATTTTTCCCTGGGGTGCTGCTTTCCTTCCCCAGGGTCACCAAGGTCTCTTTGAACTCAGAACACAACCATTTGGATTCGTCAGCCCCCATGGAGCCAATGCTTGAAAACTGGCCCACTATGGGCCAAGACTCGGCCCTGGGCAGGGATGAGGTGTGCTCCTTCAGGAGCTGTGAGAGAGGACAGTGGAGCCAGTCACTCACACACATGGACAGAGACAGCGCAATGACCCAGAACACGGTGTCCACCCTCCACTCCCCATTCACAAAGAAATGCTGCAAGTATAACGGATCAATTTCATGCCCACTTACGCATTTTTCCTTCTTCGGGAAATAGTTTTTAGATTCTAAAAATATTTTATTTTAATGAAGTGGACAGAAGGCCTCTTCTCCCAAAATTCTTTGATTTGTATGAAAAGCAAAAACAAATTAAAAAATTTTAAAGATCCATATAAGCAAGAACGTCAGATAAACTACCAACCTGCCTTGTGAGATTTCTGCCTTGAAATCATAATTGTTTAGTAAACCTACGCAACACACTCAAGGCCAAACTATGGTACATTTTGACTCCTATTATTTGAAAGAGGTTTAACATTTGGGCTTTAGGTACCTCTGATGTTCTTAAAAATAAAAGAGAATCTATTTACAAATAGATAACACTACCCAAAACACTAAGATTGATCTATATTTCCTGCTTTGATACTTGTGCAAAGCTTGAAAAACCATTCAGAAATCTTTTTTATTGATTTTTTTTTTTTTAAAGAGAAGAGATATAAAAATCGATGTCAGAAACATCAATTGGCCTCCTCCTGCACACCCCCTACTGGAGATCGAGCCCACAACCTGGGCATGTGCCCTGACGGGGAATCGAATCGGGACCTCTCAGCCCATGGGACGATGCTCAATCTACGGAGTCACACTGGCTGGGCCACTCAGAAATCTTATCCACTTAAACATTCATGCTGAGCGTCCACCCAGAGGCTGGAGATAACGAGAAAAATGAGCTGCAGTTCTACAGCTGTGGAGCTCATATTCTGACTGACATGTTTAGTTTAATGTGTACAGTTGTCCCTCGCTACCCGCTTGGACTTTTGCGGCTTCACTCTATTGTTTTTTTTTCAAATATACTCATCAAAAAGTTGATCGAGACAGTGAAAATGATACAGCGCGCGCTCAGTTGTCTGAGTCAATTATACACCCTGTATTGCAATTACAATTAAAATTACTGTATGTATGGACTGTGGGCCTATGTATTCGAGCACCCCAGGAATCCTTCAACGCCAGGTGCCACCGCTAGAGTCTGGACCGGATTAACCGCGATAAACGAGGGACGGCTGTATTATTTTCTTCGACACGTCTTAGGCATCAATATTTATAAACACTGCTACCAAAAAGCCCAAACAGTTCTCCCCTTGCACCTTGGGTGTAGCACTGTGCATGGAACAAGACTGAACTGACAACTACAACACCCAGCATCTATTCCGTGCTCAGCCCCTGATCAGCTGCATGACCCTGGGCAAGTCTCTCTCCTCCATTTACATCAATGAAACAGAACTTGGATCGATCATCCTTGTCTTCCTTGAAGGCAGCTGTGATGCAACATGAGCTGCTGTGTGCGAAAAGTGGTCAGAAAACCCTAAGATAGGCTTCAACTTGCAGTGAGATTGCGTACACAGCATGTGCTGTTACCTCGCCTGCCTACGCCACCAGTCCACAAGTCATCGCCAATGAATACTCGGCACCTGCCCTGCATCCACTATTTCATTTAATCCTCACACGATTCTGTGAGTGAGGCACTATGATTGTGACCATTTTGTAGATGACGAGAGAGGCAGGTTAAGGAGCAAGCTAAGGTCACATGACTTGTGAATACCAGGTAAGGATCTGAACCCCGGCGATGGGCATCGACCGGCAATGCGGTGCGATTAGCCAGTGCCCTCTACTCTCTCTAGGTCAAGACATGAAGGTGTTGGCTGCAAGATCCTGCCTGTTTGCAGCTGTGGTCCCATTAAAAAAGAAAAAAAAATTTAAAATTTTCATTAACCAAGGAGAATTTTTACATAACAAATAATTGATGAGAAAAGCAGCAAGGCTTTTAAAAAAGCCACTTTAGGGATATTATTAAAGTTGGTAAAGTGTTTCATAAAAGGAGATGAAGAAAATGTTAACCTTCAACTTGCTGGTTTTATTTTGTTAAAGACCTTTCTTCGTTCATTTTCATACCAGCAGCAAATGTAACGTTTGTAGTAACAATTCTCTTAAGGACACTGGTTTAGCAAACAGAATACATTGTAGCTCAGTTGTAGCCTCTACTCAACACTATATTCTGTTTTTTGTTGAATTTGTATGTTACAAGTCCTTGACATTCTGATCAAAAGTTACAAATGAGCCCTGGCTGGTTTGACTGAGCGGTTAGAGCGTCGGTTAGAGCGTCGGCCTGCGGTCCAGAGAGACCTGGGTTCGGTTGCCGCTAAGGGTGCATGCCTCATTTGCAGTTTGTCCCCGGCCCTGGTTGGGTCGTGCAGGTGGCAACCGGTCGATGTGTCCCTTTCACATCGATGTTTCTCTCTCTCCCCCTTCCTCCCACTCTACCTGAACAAAATATCAAAAAATGTTCTTGGGTGAGGATAAAAAAAGGAAAAGAAAAAAAAAAAAGCTACAAAATGAGAAGTCTCTGTCTTTATTACAAGATATATAACAAAGGCATAATGAAACTAAAAATTATTGAAAACTATTAGATAATCAATTTATGTGTCTACCATTAGCCCAGGATTGTGCTAGAGAGACTGTGACACTGCCATCAAAACATACAATTATAAGTGAAAAACGAGACAATACACATTCAGTCTTAAAAATTGTTACCTTCCGAAGCCTAAAGTGTCCCCAGTTATCCTTTTGACTCCCCTGAAAGCGTCCTGGGGTTGATCCAATGAGGTAAACGCTACAACGATGGAAAATGTAAGTTATAGAACATAGTGATGTGATTTATGGTCCCCCAAATCACAAAATACACATGAAAACTAATGTAACCATGAACTGTTCCAAGAGCCAACCCATTTTCTTGGGATGCTTCCTCAGAGGAGTGACTTCAACTCATTTTCAAGCACATCAACTGACGGGGAACTCCTGCAAGGTGTGAGGAACCAGGCAAGGAACTCGTCCACTTTAATGGCTGAGAACCAGGACATGCACAGGGACAACCTTCTGCTTTCATCACATCATGAAGGACAGCTAAACAGCAGTCAACCTCTTCCCAAGACTCCTGCCCTCCAGATCTTGTGTGGCTGGCTCTCCAGGCATTACCTGCTGTAAGCACCCCAAATCGCAAAAACGACACGTACTTTGTTTGAGAGAGATCATGGTCGTGGATGATGTCTATCCACTCCTTGAGAGGAGGAGCGTTATAAGCCATCAAGTAGCTGATGAGATCAGCTTTAAAATGTGTTGTCGACTCTCCAGACTGGTGGGTTCCATGGGCAATTCGTGGGTACAAGGGGCTTAACCATATTCTGGAATGGGAAAAAATGACTATTAACAGTCGGGAATGCAACTAGTCACAATGACATCTCTATTGATTCTGCCTTCACCCTAAGGAAGAGGTGAATTCTCACTGCCTGTCTCCACCTGGTCAACAGAGTGATCCTTACAAAACATAAGTCTGATAGCAACACTGGGATAGCATGCATCACTTTCAAAACTATTTTTGAACACCTCCTGAATTCAGACCCAGTAAGATCTAGCCTCTGCTACCTCCCCCGACCCAGTCCCTTCAGGCTCCCTCTCATCCATTCACTACACCTCCCCCTCCTCCTCCCCACACCTCCCACACTGCTTTCTGAGATGTGAAGACAAGTTAACAGCTCTACTCTCAATTGTTGCAGCAACTCCACACCGTCTGACAACCCCAGCAAGATTCTGCCCATGACACTAATGTAGCTCTCTGTCCAAGTGGAAAAGGATAAACGTTATACTGAGAAAAACGTCTGTGCAAATCTATTGTCAATAAACAAACTCATTTTCCTGATGCAGATGCTAGAGAAGTTGAAGGCATTTTCATATCCTGTACTTTCCTGGTGTCCGGAGTGACTATAGTCCACATTTAATGATACTAGCTTAACACGAACCTCGGACTTTCAAATAACATAGTAAACAGAATATTAACGGCATCTTTCATCTCATCAATCCTTTTCCCCAAAAAAGGACTTGGTACTTTGCCAGAACTTCTATATTTTACCCACAGGCGTAAAACAACCACATCTAAGCTTAATCCCCCTATGACTGCTCCACGGGAGGTGACAAGAGTCATTTCAAGCCTCGTGTGCTCAGTCTCCCTCACGTGCAACGCTGGTTACCTGCCTGCCTCGCAGGGACGTGCACGGGTAGCGATCGAAGTGTCCAGCTTAAGGAACACTGGAACGTGTTAACTGTGACTGCCGTTCCCCTCTGTGCCCACTGCCCCCGCTGGTCTACCCATGAGGCCCAGAGGGAAACTGCCGCATTCTGTTTTTCACCTGGCAGCCCTCGGAGCAGACTGACCAGATGAGGCCAGCAGGGCAGGAAGCATCCAGAACCACGAGGACCCTGGCTGTGTGTCTTCCAGTCTCAGTGTGTGTGTCTAGCAGGGGGACCGTCACACTGCCCCGTCCCACCTTGGGGAGACCCGCTGCACAAGGAGTAACAGTACGACAAAGACGGGAGCCCCGGCCCTGAACTTGCATTTGCTCCTCCCTGGCTGGGTCCTTTGAGGCAAACCCAGTGACCTCTCTGAGCCTCTGCCCTGCTGTGTAGAACGGCCACACCGGGCTGGATGGATATATAAGGAGCCCACAAGCTGGGCGGGCTCCTCCTGACAGACAGGCACCCACAGAGGGGGGTGGTTCTGGGTGAGGACCAGGATGGACGACGACTTTCTACACCGGACACTGAGGTGTGAGGCATTTTTCACACTTTTACAAATAAGACGGACAATGATCATGGGCCAAATAATTTTAAAAATGAAAATTAATAGGGGGACCAAGAAGCGGCTGAAGAGGATGGCGGGAACACCTGTGTGGCAGAAAAGGGCCAGCAGCACGGCAGACCAAATAGGGAGATGACCCCGGATTCCTGCCTTCAGGTGCTTTTAAAATGACAGCCCAGCCCTGGCCGGTTTGGCTCAGTGGTTGGAGCATCGGCCTGCAGTCCAGAGACCCAGGTTCGGATCCTGCTAAGGACATGTACCTCGGTGGCAATTTGACCCCGGCCTGGGTTGGGTCATGCGGGTGGCAGCCACTCGATGTGTCCCTTTCATGTAGATGTTTCTCTCTCTCTCTCTCTCTCTCTCTCTCCTTCCCACTCTATCTAAACTACAAAATGGAAAAATGTCCTCGGGTGAGGATTTAAAAAAATAAAAAATAAATAAAATGACAGCCCACAGCATGTGATGTGTGTCAGAGAGGAGGTCCTGGGCGGATGGGAAGCTGACAGAGGAGGGCCTGGGCGGACGGGGAGCTGACAGGGAGGAGGACCTGGGCGGACGGGGAGCTGACAGAGGAGGACCTGGGCGGACGAGGAGCTGATGGAGGAGGACCTGGGCGGGTGGGGAGCTGACGGAGGAGGACCTGGGCGGGCGGGGAGCTGACAGAGGAGGACTTGGGCGGGCGGGGAGCTGACGGAGGAGGACCTGGGCGGATGGGGAGCTGACAGAGGAGGACCTGGGCGGACGAGGAGCTGATGGAGGAGGACCTGGGCGGGTGGGGAGCTGACGGAGGAGGACCTGGGCGGGTGGGGAGCTGATGGAGGAGGACCTGGGCGGGTGGGGAGCTGATGGAGGAAGACCTGGGCGGACGGGGAGCTGACGGAGGAGGACCTGGGCGGGTGGGGAGCTGACGGAGGAGGAGGACCTGGGCGGACGAGGAGCTGATGGAGGAAGACCTGGGCGGACGGGGAGCTGACGGAGGAGGACCTGGGCGGGTGGGGAGCTGACGGAGGAGGAGGACCTGGGCGGATGGGGAGCTGACAGAGGAGGACCTGGGCGGACGGGGAGCTGACAGGGAGGAGGACCTGGGCGGATGGGGAGCTGACAGAGGAGGACCTGGGCGGGCGGGGAGCTGACAGAGGAGGACCTGGGCGGGCGGGGAGCTGACAGAGGAGGACCTGGGCGGACGAGGAGCTGATGGAGGAGGACCTGGGCGGGTGGGGAGCTGACAGGGAGGAGGACCTGGGCGGATGGGGAGATAGTGCCCTGATCTGGGTGGTGAGAGGGAAGCTGGAGGGAGATTGCGCACTCTTGATAATTTTTGAGTTTTAAGTATGTTTTTATTGCCCTACCTGGTTTGGCTCAGCGGTGAGAGCATCGGCCCACACACCAAAGTCCCGGGTTCGATTCCAGCCAAGGGCACGTACCTCAGTTGTGGTGCGGTCCTGGCCGTGGTCGGGCTCGTGCAGGCGATGTGTCTCACACCGATGTTTCTCTTTCAAACTGGGACCTCTCAGCCCATGGGACGAGGCTCAAACCACTGAGCCACACCGGCCGGGCAGGGCACTTTTTCTACTTGCACTCAGGTCAAAGCAGGCCCAGTGGGTGGAGGTTGGAAGGCTCTATATTTTAGCTCAACCCAAGGAGGCTGGGAGTTGGGCTCCGCCAGCTCATAGGTGTTAGGGGTTCTAGCACAAGCTGGGCAATGACACGGGGCAAGGCCGGCAGGGGAGGATGCCAGTGGAGAACACTTGAGCCCTGTGCTGTAGGAATGCACAAGTTTCTTCCAGCACAGAAGGCTGCTAACCAGCTTTAACCTTCTTTAACCGAAGGCAAAGACGTACCAAACAACTTAAATGACAGAAACAAAAGTTAAAGCTAGTCACAATGAAGGCTTACCAGGAGGGACAACAGGGCTTAAAACCTGATTTAGGCAAATCCCTAAAAATAAACCCAAACCCCTCTTTAAGGAAGATAAAAAGCTCGACCTAACCTATGAGCACCAAGGACAAAGGGTTGGTGATATAAACAAAGTCTGAATGACCTTCACGTTCAGTTCCCCTTGAGATTCACAACCCCACGGACACATTAAAGGCTTTAAAAACATACCAGTGAAGATGTGTTTTACATAAAGTACACGGATTAGAGGTGAGGGGAATTTTCTGCACCTCAAGTTTTCCTCTGATACCCGCTGGAAGTCGCAGCCCTGAGTACAAGTGGGCGCAGGGTAAGTGGCAGCCAGAAGGTTATCCAGAGGGTCTTACTGGAAAAATAACAGGTTCAGACCTTCCTTCTGGCATCCTCTTTCCTGCCCCGAATACTTGGATGTACTCGGCTCCAGAGTGTGTGCGATCCCATTTTGTAAAAACAACTTGCTGTGTGAAAAAAACTTACTGTGCGTAGGTATTCATGTAGAATAGAGACAGTTTGGGATGATTATGTACTAAACTGTTAACTCTGCTTGCCTCAACAGAAATTGGAAGAGGGTACTAAAAGAACGCTACCATTTTTTCTGCATGTGTATTTTTCAATGCTGTGTGTGTAAATTTTTTTCAATTAAAAAAACCAGAAAGACAAAAGAATCAAGCGAATGTCCTGGCTTTGACCTGTGTCAGCACACTGCCGCGCCCTACAGTGAGCAGAGCCTACACACCCCTGCGTCTTCTGGTGCCAGTCAGCGTGGATGAGGTTGGAGGTGTGGATGACAACTCGGAGGCCTTCTTCATACAGCAGGAGCATCATTTTCCTTTAAAAACAGAAAGGGCATCAGAAAGCATTAACAGTACTTTAAAAAAATGTAACATCTTTCTAATGCAAATGTAATAGCTAAAGGGAGTCTTCAAATTCATATATTACCCAAACTTTTAACATTTCTAATCCTTTCTTCTACACATGATCCAAGTCTGCTTAAGTGCTAGGTAGAAAACTACCTTCCAATATGCTGAGTCACCCTGGTCTGTGTGGCTCGTTGGTTAGAGCGCTGGCCCTCGAGGCGCCGCTGGTTCAGTTCCGAGTCAAGGGGAAGTACCTCGGATGCAGGTTTCAATCACAGGATGAAGCTGACTTAACACTGTTCTACTTGCCCTGGCTGGTTTGGCTCAGTGGTTGGAGCATCGGCCCGTAGACCAATGAGTCTCGGGTTTGATTCTGGTCAAGGGCACATGCCTCAGTTGCGGTTCATCCTGGGCCCTGGTCGGGTTGTGTGGGAGGCAACCAGTCAATGTGGCTCTATCACATTGAGGTTTTCTCTCTTTCTCTCCCTCCTTCCCACTTTATCTATAATAAGTAGAAAAATATCCTCAGGTGAGGAATACAAAAAAGAACAACATTCTACTTGATAAAACTCAGAATGTTATACAAATCACAAGTCGTTCTTTAAAGTAGTGGACTCCACAGGCATGTCACTAACACACGTACAGTCATCCATAACCACAGACCACACACCACAATACCTATTCTCCTACAGTGAATGTCCTGAACAGAAAGCAGATTCAGGCTTTCTCGCTGAATGCCAGATCCAAGCATTTTATCTTAAGGCTGTTAGAAAACCACTCCACTTCCTCTAATTCCTTACTGTTGGCCCTCCCCCCACACATATTATCACACATGAGTTCCTCCAAGAGCACTTTTTGAATAACATCCTTTGGTCTTTTAAAATCATACCCTCTCCCATTTCATAGAAATTACTTACGTGTGGTGTGTTCCAAATGCAATATCCAACTTTGCCTAGGATGAAAAAGAAGTCAAGTCACTTATTTAAAAAAACACAGCCTAATAATATCCTTATCTAGTGGAAATTAAATTAGAAAAGGTTCTGGTCAACTATTTTTTTTTTTTTTTTTAAACTGCTTTTACTGCCCTCTAGTGGACAAGGCCCTGATCAACAACACCGCTTTTACAAAATTCAGTGAGGCTGTTTAAAAAAAACACATTTTTTAAAGTTACCCAGAATAATTCAATACTTTCTGCATTTTTAATTATAGTAATTAGGAGTTGAAGTCTAATTTCTATAGTTGTCAAAAACTAATAAAAACAAACGAGACTCTATATAAAGTTTTAAAATGAGATAACTGATTTATACAGAAATTAATAATTAAAAAATGTTCAGAGTAGCAAAAACACACTGAATGTGGTAGCAGCAGAAAGACTTACATTATGATGTTAAAACAGAAGTTTTATTATATTAATAACAGCAAGCGCTGAAAATAAAGATAATATAGTAAATCCATTTGCGTGTTATAATGGGGGTGGGTAGAGAAGTAAAACATCTAGCATCCAGTATAGCAAGACCCTGGTTAAGCAAAATATGCCCAGGGTGTATGCTAAGAAAGAGGTAAAACAGAAATATCAAAAGAGCAGTTAGGAATGCACAAACCCTAGCTTTACAACTTTACGTGACTTTGAAAAATATTTAAATCTCCGTCCTTCATCTTACTCCTCTTTAAAAGGATGGTATTGTTAGGGGATTCAAATGGTTGTTAGGAGTAAATGAGAAAAAGTGTTTCGAGTGCTTAGGAAAGGGGGCTGGCACCGGCTACGACTCTACAAATAGAGGCAAATAGTGCTCCAACCGCCGCCACCAAGCACACAGGTGGTGGATCTGTTTGCTGGAGGCAGTGATGAGCAACTGGCACACACAGGTGAGCATGACACAGGCCCTGTCTCGGAGATGCTCAATGACAGGCGGCCTAGTCCACTATGCTCTCCCACTGTGTTTGGGGAGACTGCAGCATGCATGTGCGTGGTCTGGCCACAGAGGAGAGAACAGGGAACTGTATTCGATGTCTTTAAAATTACAAAATTAGAATGCAGACCATCACTCTGTAAATTGATATTTAGCTCAGAAAAAGCAATGGTCAAGAGATTTGGCTTTTGAGCTGAGTTGTGTGATTTTGGGCAAGTCTAAACATAAAACCAGGATGATAATAACTTCAACAGATAATATTAATGGGTGCTTTTTAGGATAAATGCACCAAATTCCCTGTACTACAACCCTAAGTACAGTATTAGCAGTCCACTTTAAAGATGAAGGAATTATCCTGGCCAGTGTGGCTTAGTGTACTGGGGGTTGTCCCATGGACTGAGAGGTCAGTTTGATTCCCAGTCAGGGCACATGCCCAAGTTGCGGGCTCGATCCCTAGTGGGGAAGCGTGCAGAAGACAGCTGATTGATGTTTCTCTCCCTTCCTTTCTCTGTAAAAAAATATTAAAAAAAAAAAAGATGAAGGAATTAGGCTTCAGAGGTTCAATGATGAGCTCAGAATGACACAGCTAGTACATAGAGAACTGGGACAGAACCCAGGTAGTTTGAACCCTGACCATCAGTAGGCCTCCACCTCTGGTCTCTGGCCCCAAATGTATGAAATGTGAGAAGTATTAGCATCCAATGGGTTTTTTATGGCAAAGTCAAGAATTCACCTTACAGACAAGCCATAAAAAGGTATTTCAAAAGGTCAGGATGGGGAACAATCTTTCTATACCTCAAACCAGATCTGGGAGCTTCTGCTCTTTGTACAATGTTTGAAAGACCATGGCTCGTTACACCCTCTAGTGGCCTGTCTGGAGCACACCATCAGACATCAGCCACAATGTCTCGTCAACTTTTCAGGACAGGTAGTTAGTATTTGAACACTGTTTCTATTGACTTAATCACTGGTTTTCAAGATTCCTATGTTATTTTATTTTCTGACCACTTTTGGTCTGATGAGAGCTATCCTAGTGCAGTTTAACATCTTCTGTTTTGGGAAGTAAAGCAATGAGATTTTAGGCAACTGCTAAGCAAAGGCCTATCTGTAGAAGGTGAGCCATAAGTATGTTAGGAAAAGAAATGTTTTCGAACTCCAGCTATTATATATAAAGTGCAGTGGTTGAATCACAGTGCTGAAACCCAGGCTGTGAGAGGCATGCTGAATAGAGGCAACCAGATGAGGACTAGAGGTTGGGGAGAGACAAAGACTCCATGGTACATACAATACAAATGAAGAAAGTGAGACAACTATAGGAGATGTGTTCAAACATAAGAATCAAGCCCAGCCCAGTGTGGCTCAGTGGACTGAGCATTGTTCCATGCACTGAGAGGTCAGGACACATGCCTGGGTTGCGGGCTCAATCCCCAGTGGGGGGTGTGCAGGAGACAGCCGATCAATGTTTCTCTTTCACATCGATGTTTCTCTCTCTTAAGAAATAAAAACATTAAAAAATAAATTTAAAAAATCACTGACACACACTAGAATTATTTTATGTGGCTCCAGAGGGGAAAATTAAGACCAATATGTAGAAGTCACAAGGATGGTTAATTTTATGTGTCAAGTTAGCCAGGCCACAGTATCCAGGTATTTGGTCAGATGTTGCAGTGAAGGTATTTTTTATTTTCATTTTTTGGTATGTGCCCCTAGCGGGAACCGAACCCGGGACTCTCTGGTCTGCAGGCTGACACTCCAACCGCTGAGCCAAACCGGTCAGGGCTGAAGGTATTTTTTAGATCAGATTAACATTTACATTTGTAGACTTTGAGTAAAACAGATTACTCTCCACAGTGTAGGTGGGCTTCATCCAATTAGTTGAAGGTCTCAAGAGAAAAAAGACTGACTCCTTCAAGGAAGAGGGAATTTAGTCTCCAGACTGTCTGTGGGCTCAAACTGCAACATCTCTTCTTCCCTGGATTTTGGACTTGCCAGCAGCCCCCTCATATACTCCTCCCCACCCCCACCATAGGTTGTTTCCCTGAAGAACCCTAATAGAGATATGAGGTCACCATAAAGATAAATCTTTCTGAGCACAAGAGCAAGCAGGAAGCATTCAAGCTATAGCTAGACAAATATCGGTTGGGGATGCTGGAGAGGATTCCTGCAGTAGGCAGGTAGATAGATGAAATGTTTAAATTTCCTTCCAACTCTCAGACCAAGCATGATCTTAGATGGCAACAAGCAGCTTACCTGGCAGAGGGAAATGTTTTCGTAAGGCTTTGCCTCGGCATGTAAGTGAGCCTTAGCTTCTCGTTTATCGCCATGCACAAGCAGGATTGGTTTCTTCCTGAAAAGAGATCAGAATATTTAAAATACATCATTCCCTCATTGATTAGTGAGGGAATGACAGCTTCCTTATCACCCTGTACGTGCTTCTGGCCTTTGAGGTGACTGAGTACAGGGCTAACAGAGCAGTGACTAGTTAATCTTCATTAACCAGTTACCTTTACAATGGGGCCATGGGGCCCGATCCTAAAGCTCTACTGTGACCCAGAGGGGTTGTGAGTCAAGAAAGTCCTTGAGTAATGAATTATCTCCTTTGGTCCCAAAGGGCACATAGTTAGCTCTGTGTTAGTATGTTTAAATTCAGACAAACTAAAAGACATACAATTACTGTTATATAGTATGATGCTCTTTTCTTCCCCTTCTTCTGGAACCTCAGTAGGCCGACATTCACCAAGTCCCCACTGTGTGCTAGGCACTGCTCTAGACTCCCAGGATACAACAGTGCTAGGCCCAGGTCCACAGCACCATGCAAACTCACTGAAGGTGGTTCTATTTCAATGAAACAGAGCCCAAGGTGCATCGAGAATGCTGTACTTATGAATTCCTAAACAACAACAACAACAACTAAGTGCTCTTCAGGAATAGATTTATTTATTTATTTATTTTTTATCCTCGCCCGAGGACATTTTCCCATTTTTTGTTCAGGTAGAGTGGGAGGGAGAGGAACAGAGAGAGAGAGAGAAACATCGATGTGAAAGGAACACATCGAGTGGCTGCCACCCGCACAACCGACCAGGGCCGGGGACAAACTGCAACCGAAGTACGCGCCCTTAGCGGGAACCGAACCCGGGTCTCTCCGGACCGCAGGCCGACGCTCTAACCGCTGAGCCAAACCGGCCAGGGCTAGGAATAGATTTAAAAGGCTTTTAAGGGAACCATGATCTTCTCCAGTTAATTCAAAGTGAGATAATCCTTAGAAATCAATATATCTTTACAAGCTCTCCCAACAATACAAAAATTGGATTTTTCTCCAATGAGTAATCAAGCAAGATGAACAAATGTAGCTACCTGCAAATGTATCAATCACTGTGCAGAATGATTCTCTATCACATGTAAAGGGGCAACATCAACTAAAAAGAAACATTATAGAAAATGCACTTCCGGTACAAATGCCTAGCTACCTAATCCCCAAGAACTTTTTTTCACCATATCAGTTCAAATAAAACTAAGAAACACACCTTCCCAACTTTTTTCTGTTTTACAATTAGAAAAACAGTATAGAGAACAAGAATAACTCAAGCATCTATCGCCTAGAAACAATTAGTGTTATCAGATCATCAAGGCTTCTTTAAAAATAAAAGAAACATTAATGGAAGTTGAAATCTGCATTAACCCCTTCAAATGTATTGGTTCCATAAACTATCACAGAAAGGCAGTTGTGATGCTTAATTTCATATGTCAACTTGATTGGGCCAGGGGTGTCCAGAGAAAACATCATTTCTGGGTGTGTCTATGGGGTGGGGGAGGTTGCCAGATGAGATGAACATTTGAATCAGTGGACTCAGTAAAGCAGTCTTTCCTAATGTGTGTCAATGTGTCCACTGACAACCTGAGTAGAAGAAAAGGAAGAATTTGTTCTCTTCCTGACTGAGCCAATTGTGCATATATCTCCATACACCTACCTCCTGTTGGTCTGTTTATCTGGGAAACCCTACCATAGGCAGTATCTGAACAGCAACATGAGGCAGTATAATCTCTATGATCTGGACTATCTCTCTATAAGTTCTGGATGTTAACTTGACATTGCGTTGTAAGAAGGTCATTCCTCCTCCTTACAACGCTCGCGATGGCATTCCCAAGGTGCGTTCAGCAATGAGTGGGTGCGAGAAGGTAGGACTCTTCTGTCCCTTGCCTGCAGTTACTGAGAGCCCAGTGGGCACTGTACTAGTTTGCTGGGGCAGCCATAATAAAGTACCACAAACTGGGGGCTTAAACAACAGGAAGTTTGAGATCAAGGAGTCAGCAGGGTTGGTTCCTTATGAGGGCTATGGGGGAAGGACCTATTCCAGGCTTCTCCCAGCTTCTGGATGGTGTTCTGTGTCTTCTCTGTGTATGTGTCTATGTCCAAGTTCCCCCTTCTTATAAGGACACTGATCATATCTGAGTAAGACCCACCCCAGTGACCTCATTTTAACTTGATTATTTCGGGGAAAAAAACCTACTTCCAAGTTAGGTCGCATTCTGAGGTACTAGAGATTGAAACTCCAACAGATCTTTTTTGGGGTGAGACAATTCAATCCATAACAGATACACAAGAAATTGTAGTCTATACTTTGGCAACACTGGAAAGGTGTGACAATTTGATTTCAAGGTCTTTGAGAAGCAAAGGCACAAATAACAAAAGAGCCAACACAACTAACAGGGACGCTTGTGGCCAGGAGGAGCCCACAGGAGACGGCGCGCTGCCTCCTGATGCCCATTCTCTCTTCCTTCCTAACAAAACCCGATCTTGTTCAGGCGAGGGTGTGCTCAGCCAAGACTTCATTTTCAGTCTCTTTCAGAGCTGGTCATCGTCCTGTGAATGTCGCTCAATGTTGAGTGGGACTACCAGGAAGGCTGCTGAGAGGGGGCACAGCTCGAACACAGGCCAGAGCTCCAGAGCTCCAGGTGCCATCCTGGACCTCAAGGTGACTCTGAAGATTGAAGTCACCCACAGGGATGGAGGGACAGACAGACAGAGTGGGTAAGTCTCTGAGAACCATGTCAGCCCCTAATCCAGACCTCGAATGTCTACCACCTGGACTTCTTAGGCTAGAGAAAATTTTTCTCTTAAGCCACCATTATTTTGGGTTTTCTGTCACATGCAGCTCAAACTAATCCTATGTGTCACAGGTCAAATACAAGCCCAGAGTGCTAACGCCTTGGGAAATTTCAATGGCATTTCATCCACTGTTAATGATGGTTTCCACCATCTGATTCTTAAAGGCACCAAGGACTCTGAGGACCTAACAACTACTTTTTCCTGTGTGTGCATTCCTCGACCTTACTTGTGCTTATGCAGTCTGCCGTGTAAGCATGTTAGAAACTAGCACAGTGCATGTCACTGCGTGACGCGATCTATTCGGTCTGTACTGCTGAACCCCGGGCTGAGGAACTCCAGAAGACAGGCTGAAAATCCATCACCTCTATTACCTGGACAGGCCCTGAGATCCCTTTGTTAACTCTTACACCACAGAGAGAACCACTCAAGGAAGTGCTTCTCAGAACAGCGCTGATGTGGTACGGAAGTGCGGCGCGCTAGCCACGCGTTGTCATGACAGGTCTGGAGAATGGGTGGCAGTGAACTTTTCCTTCACACTAACACTGGACACACAGCTCTCTCAACTGGGTTGGAATTTGTCCTTATCTACTTCTGGACAGAGCAATGGAGGAAAATGGCAAAATCTGTATAAGGAATACACGTGATTAGTTAGAATAGATTAAAAAAATGCGGTTTCCCAGTGATTGTATGATCTGGATGGTTTCAAAGACATTAAAAAAACGATGGTCAACAGCTGCCTGGCAAGCACAGGTGTTGTGTTTTAAGGCCCCTGGTAGTCACGATGCTGTCTGCTACCCCAGGGAACTCACCTGAACTCTGGGGGGTACTGTTTGACGAGCCAGTCCACATCGAAGCAGTAGTTAAACTAGACGGTGGGAGAGAAAAGCAAGTCAGTCACGGGAAACTTAGCCAAGCAGTTATTAAACTGAAAGAAACTCTGAAATAATGATGAACTACATGTTTTATTGATAACCTAGACAGTTCTGCCACAGTACTCATAAATAAACCTGAAACGGACCTGGAAGGGACCGCGGCCCAGGGAATCCGAGCAGAGGAGGGCGAGAAGCTGGTTCCAGGGCTGCCATTTCTGGGCGCTCTGGCAGCATCTGCACTTGCTATTTCTGAGGGGTAATTTAAACAAAAGGGCTTATACATTTATCCCTTTCCATCCCAGGTGACTATGAAAAGGACTTTTAGAAAAAAACATCTCCTTTCAGCCTAATTTAGGAGTTAGCTTTGTAAACAGGCTTTGGGGACTGGACCCTCACTAGGCTTACAGCAATCACATCTTGACCCGAGTTCTGCACTGGACTTACCCACGGGGGCTCCTCCCCACACCTGAGTAACACTTGAGCCTCCTGCCGGAGAGAGTGACTCAATCTAGCTAAGATAACACATGCAAATTCACCCCAAGGTTTACCTGGAGACCAGGATCCTCCAGGGACAAGCCAAACAAGAAAGGCACAGAAAGCTTTGCTTTCTTCAGGGAAGTGACCTTTTTCTGACCATTTACCAGACAGCCTGGAGCATTAAAGTGATTTGTCAACACAAAGGGACCAGCTCCCTCTGGCAGGAGCAATCAAACGTACAGAAGTATCCATAATTTTCAATAGGTTCAGGAGATTTCTTACTTTTCTAAATCAAACTTGACTTGGTTTTCACCGCTACCCTCAACCCTCAGGGGCTGCCTCAGAGTCCCAGGAGATTATCAGCATTCCTCAAAGAAGTCCCCAGGGCTGGAATTTCCAAAGTGACTTCTTAGCCCACCCTTGTAGCCTAATCCAGAGTCAGGAACCCAGGGATAGTGGCATCCATGTTCCATGCTGGTGGCTGTGCCATCTTGGGGACTCTGGCACAGGACTGAGACACAGGTCCCCATCACTTGTATTTTCTTATGGAGTTGTTTAATTATCTGTCCCCTTTCATACATACACACACACACACACACACACACACACACACACCCCAACTCAACCATAAACTCACCTGTGCTGAAGATACAAGTGTCCCAAATAGAGGAGATAAAATATCTGAGAAGACAAAACATTTAGCTCTAATTCATATTTTGATAGAAATTCTCTAGTAATAATAATAATAATCACAATTGACTTAATAGTCACTGATGCTCAAAATCTGGCTTAGAAAACGGCAAACTGAAAAATTACTGCAAAGCTAGACTTGGGTGTTCCACAGCATCAAGAGAAAATTCCCCTGTGCTAACACTTACTATGTATTCTTTCATAAAATACAATGTAAAATTTAAAGCTACAACTTCAATACTGATAAGCGTCAATTTTAGAAACCACTAATAAGGACAATGATACATGTTGTTCTTCTTTCCAGATCTCTGAATTTTTACCTCCCTCAAGTACTCATTCAAGTCCCTCTCAAGAAACCTCCCCACCCCAGGACTAACTTGCTTCCTGTGAAGCGAGGGCAGAGGCACCCAGAGCTCTGAGCTCCTGTTTTAGCATTCTCAGTAAGCTCCAAGAAGTCCCATCTCACACCCATCCAGGCTTGGCTTCAGAGAGGGCAGAAAGCTCACTCCTCATAAACAACACCTTGAGAGGAAGTACACAATCATTATCACCATCACCAACAGCCGTACTTGTACAGGACCTAGAAGGTGCCAGGCTCTGTACTTGGCACTTTCCACATGTCAACTCCTACTCCTCACAAACATCTTCTGAGATGGTCTGCTGTTCCCATTTTATAGAAGAGGAGACACCCGCCCCCCACCTCAGGAAGGGGCAGAAGGGGTCTGAACCCAGGCCATCTTACTCCAGCACTTCTGCTCTTAACCACCAAACTGTCTCTGAGGATTAAGAACGGGCTTTCATTCATTTGACTAGTATTTACTGAGTGCTTCCAGACATGAGCTAGATACCTGGGCACAAAGATTTTAAAAGTACAGATAACTCTTCTTAGGGGAGCTCCTACCTTTATGGGAGAGTTGTACCATCAAGAGATAAATTGCGCCCTGGCCAGTTTGGCTCAGCGGTTAGAGCGTCGGCCTGCGGTCTGGAGAGACCCGGGTTTGGTTCCCGCTAAGGGCACGTACTTCGGTTGCAGTTTGTCCCCGGCCCTGGTTGGTCGTGCGGGTGGCAGCCACTTGATGTGTCCCTTCACGTCGATGTTTCTCTCTCTCTCTCCCTTCCTCTCTCTCCCTCCCACTCTATCTGTACAAAAAATGGAAAAATATCCTCGGGTGAGGATAAAAAAAAAAAAAAAAGAGATAAATTGCAATGTACCCCTTGATGGTGTCCTCCATTTTGCCCCACTGGCCACTCCTCTTTCTAGCTTTCTAAATTTCACCCATCTTTCTCGGCCCATTTGAAGTCCTTCTTCCTCCATGAGACCTTCTAAACAATCCATAATTTTGTAGAGGTCATATGTATCATTCCATCTGTTGGCATCATATATCAAACAGTTAAGACCATCAATTCGGATGCCAAGTGCCTTTCCAATCCCAGCTCTACCATTTGACAGCTCTGTGACCTTGGGCAGGTTATTCAATTTCTTCAAACTGAAGATCTGGCACCTATCCAAGGAGGACAACTGTAACATCTACTCATAAGGCCGCTGTGAGAATTAAGGGAAATAATTTATGTAAAAGCTCCTATCTTAATGTTCCCTCCTCTTCCTTAGTATCTTGGTGCTAATAGCCAGTCTTTACTATTTTACTATATAAAACAAAACCTTGCAGTAGTTCTCTATTAATTTCCTGTGTCAATCTCTGTCAAATAAAACAAAACAAAAACATTGAGATCTAGCTATTATTTCTTCAAAGTACCTAGCCAAGAGATTCTCATTAAAAATAAATAACCTGTAGAATCCAACTCCCTCACGGTATGGAATTAAATACACCAACATTTACACATCGCAGATGATAGAAAATATACAACTGCATATTCAGTATGTAATTAAAACCTTATTGATAGTGAACATAATCTACTCTCAAGTGTGGGCCAGAAAAAAGGGTAATCTGAAATAAGGATACTGTTTATTTTGTGTATCTGCCATGTTAGCATATTGTGCTGGTCACTTCATGTATTTTCTTCTTTTTTTTCTGAATGGCCAGTTTGAGAGAGTCAACTGAAATCTGAGGAATGGTAGGTTCTTTGTTAATTACCCACACAGCATGTGAGTGGTGAACCAGGCTTCAAATTCCATGTCTTGGATTCTAGAGTTCCTGCTGTTCCTCCCTGAAGGAGGAATGTTTCCTCTCCTCACCCATTACTTCTGACACCGAGTGCACTGGGGTTCTCACACAGACTGATTCTAAAATTCTCTGCAGACACCAGCTGGAGAGCCTACACTCTCATTCAATCTGACACCATCCAGTGGGAGTTAACGTCACATCCCACAGGTTAAGGGCTCAGTCCCACAAGACTGCCCACCCCCTCAGACACCAATCACAAATCCAGACCTCCTATACTTCTGAATATAACTTGGAGATTCCCATGATCCCCTTTGGGTTCGATAATTTGCTAGAAAGTCTCACGGAAGTCAGGAGCACTTTACTTATTAGATTTCAGGTTTATTATAAAAGGATACAACTTAGAAACAGCCAAGTGGAAGAGACACATAGAGCATGGTATGGGGGAAGGGTATGGTGCTTCCATGCCCCCGCCAGGTGCACCTCCCAGCACCTCCACCTGTTCACCAACCTGGAACTCTCCACACACATTTGGTTAGGGTTTTTTGAGGAGGCCTCGCTCCATAGGCTAAATCCATTAAATCATTGGCCATTAGTGAATAACTCAACATCCAGTCCCTGTCTTCTCCCTGTAGGTGGGGGATGAAGCTGAAAGTCCTAACCTTAATCACACTGTTGGTTCACAAGGAAGCCTGTCCCCGCCCCCCCTTAGGGGCTTTCCAAAAGTCACCCCATTTAACATAAACCCAGTGTGGTTGAAAAGAGCTTGTTAAGAATAACAAAACATACTCCTTTGACCTTTAATTACTTTGGAGCTGTTTTAGGAGCCTAGGACAAAAACCAAATATAACCAGGGATGAAGACCAAGTATGTATCACAATAGCACACAGATGCACCCCAAGGAAAAGCCAAAGCAACCAAAGACTATCTTTTGGTTCAGAACTGACACACCATTTTGTATGCTAGCATTCTTTTTTTTCTCTTCTTCACCAGGAAGCAAAACCAGGCTTTCAGGCAGTGGTTCTCAAACTTGACTGGGCATCAGAATCCCCTAAGGGGCTGGTTAAAACTCTGCAGGGCCTTGCTCCCAATGAATCTGGGTGGGGCTTTTAACAGGTTTTGGGTGACGCTGATACTGCTGATGCAGGGACCAAAGAGAACTGCTATTGTCAAGGATTTGCTACTTCATTAATTAAATGTTATTGATCAAGTTTAATCTTTGGGTTAACAGATGAACAATTTTAAACATTGCACTAAGTGTTCCAAAGCATTATCTACAGGGATGTGAGAAACAGCCTCTGATTTCCTGACAAAGTGAACAGTTTGCTCTCAAACCCCTGCACTTGCTTGTCAAAATGGTATTTTTCTTTTTCCTGAGAGTGATTAAGACCATGATGATCTTGGGGTTCCTTCTAGATACCCTTGTGGTTTCACCCAAGCAGGCCCTCTCACCTGCAGCTTGACAGTTCCTGACACCAGTACCACTTACCCTTGATGTGGAGGGCTCCCGAGTTATACTTTGGCTTAATCCCAGAGACTCTAGTGAGGTAGAATTGGAAGGGGTTCCCTTTGTCCAGCATGTCCCAAATGTCCTGGCCTTCCCCTGATGTTTCATACTCGTCTTTGTCCTCTGTGAGCACGTGGTGGGCAGGAGGGCCATGATTCCCAGCTTTTGGGGCAGCACTGTCTTTGAGAGAGGAGACGCCTTTCTCCTCTTTGACGGTCACTTTCTTAGCCACCTTCTGCTGCGTCTCTGGTGGCAGCTCATCGTCACTGCTGGAGAGACACCAACCCAGCTCTTCCTGGGAACCACTCTTCTGCCTCTTGGGAGGTAGTACTTCTGAAGCCGCATCGGTGTTGCTGAATTTTACAGGTGACATTTTCCTCTTGTGGGCGGCTTTTCGAGCCTCGGAACAGGTGTACCTTGGCTCATGTGCTGCTCCCTGCTCAGCATGGAGAAGAGAGGTAGATGGCTTGTCGAGTTTGGGCTTTTCCTCCTCACTTTCATCACTGCTGGATATTGTCCATCTCCCATAATCACCTTCCTGAGACATTATACTTCTTCTAGAAATGAAAAATGAAAATATTGTTAATTCCCATTCACTAAGCCATTGGCAAACTAACTCTATTGCTCTTGAATTCCCTGTCATATGAGCTTCTGCAACACATACAGTGCACCTGACACCTACCATACACTGAACCACGTAACCAACATCAGCTGCTTTGCAAGCGTTCAGAGGCATATTACCGGAATCTGCTACGGAATCTGGCACAGAAAGTGACAGCAAAAATCCTGGTCACCTCTCCTCCTCTCCCTAGTGTTGTGTTCTAGACCTTGTTCTTACATGCCCCAGGAATGGGGGGGTTGAGCCAAAGTCCAAAACAAAACAAAACTGTTCATTGTTGACCCTGTAGTTTCTAACTGGTGGCTGGGGTTAAGGCCAATTTAAGGAATTGCAAGAGTAATTCTGATTCTGAGTATGCATAAATTTTTAGTCAAATTGGAACTTACATAGCTATCCTTCACTGAAGCACGGAGACCGAAGGACTTCAGTGATTATTTCTTCTTCAAAGATAAGCTACTTACTATAAAGCTTAAAGTCCTCAAGACAGTGTCGAATGATCAATTCTGTATACACATTATCTAGAAGTATTTCCGTGAGGGCCCAAGTAACTTAGATAATTATCTTACTGGCCTGGCCCTAAATCAAGCTGCTAAAATCTGCAGAGAAAGAACTTGTACTGAAGCAAAACACTTTTATTTTGTAAAGTCTAATTTCCACTTTCTTTATCTCACAAGAGGAAAACAGATGCCAAGGAGAATGAAAAGCTAAAGAAATTCTCCACCAATTGCCAACATGAAATGTTAGAGCTTTTATTAAGGACTTAAAACACATGTGGATGCAAAAAAGTACTCTTCTTAAAGCTGCTAACTCTTCCTCTCCCCCCACCATACTATACCCAGCTGGGGCAAGTCTTTTATACTTTCAGCTGCTGCTCCTTATAGAGCTTGCAGACCATCAGGAGGGCATGGGAATTAGACTCCAAACTGAGGCCGCGTGGCCAGGAGTGGGCAAACATGGGCCCCGATTTCAAATCCAGTCATTACTAGGTGGTCAATGTGCACTCAGACAGGTTACGTAACTGCTGAACCTCCACCTTCTCTTTTATAAAGGGAGTATCATACCTATATCCCAGAATTCATGCATTCAACAAATATTTATTGAGCAGCTACCATGTGCCAAGCACTGGGAATAAAGACTTAACAATATACAAATGGTTTCTGTCCTAGATGAGCTTATATTTCAGGGGGGGAAAAACAGACCAACACAAAAACAAACAAACCCAGATACCTCTGCTGACATTCCTCACATCGTACAGGTTTGAGACAGAATCAAGAACGCCCTAACTTTGGAAGACTGAATAAATAATGTTTATGAGAGATCTGTAGGATGAAAGGAACCAGCGGGGGTGGTGTGAAGCAGTCTTCCAAGCAGAAGGAACCCAACCTGCAAAGGCCATGAGGTAGGAACCAGGCTGTAATAATTGCAGGAGCCGAGAAGGTCCTGGGCAAGGAAAACAATGGTCCAGGATGAAGGGGGTGGAGAGGAGGAGGAGTATGGCGTATTAAAGACACTGGGTTTTATTCTAAGAACAGTAGGGCTCCGCTGAAGTGCTTTACTAAGCAGGGGAGTATCTTGGTCTGATTAACCGCTTTAAAAAAATAGTCCTTTCCTTAAAACTCTGGGTGTTGAATGGACTGGAGGGAGACAAAGTCGAGGTGAGGAGGCTCCTGCAGGGACTCGGGGAGCTGAGTGATGAAGGGGGTGGGGATGGAGCGAAGTACGCAGGTTCGGGGTACGTTTGGGAAGTAACGACTGCTGCTAACTTTTCTGTGTGCTCACCTCGGACCAGGCACAATTCGAAAAGCTTCATTGGGGGTTAACCCGTTTCACTTTCAGCAAGTCTGCACTGAGGACCACGACTGTTCCCATTTATGGGGAAACTGAGCACAGAAAGGTTAAGTGCCTGGCGTGGGGTAAACGCTCAACAGGTGCTACCTATCGCTCCTAACAGCCGAGACCACCCGCCCACGACGTGGAGAAGGCGGAACGAGGCCCGGGCGGGGGAGCCCGCACGCCCACACCCGGGCAGACTCGGGTGGCAGCGCCAGCTGTTCGCGCCGAGGAGGCACTACTACCGGAGGTCGAGGCCCAGGAGGGGCCCTACCTCGTGTCTCTACAGGATGCTCCGCTTCCAGCCCCGCCGGGCACTCACGACTTCGCCCCGCCACCCGGCCGGAAGGAGCAGGGTCGCAGGTCCAGCTTCCACACCGCCGGAGGCTCCCGAGCCCGCAGCCACTCGCAATCCCGCCCCGCCACGGCCGCCGGCGCCTGCGCGCAGTTCAAACTCTCCGGGCCCCGGCGCGCGTTTCGCCGCGGTGGCTCTGCCCCTTCCCTTTCCGGGACGCCCGCCGCTGGGTCCTAAAGTCCGCCGAATCCAGAGGGGCTGCCTGGAGCCCTCCCTGGAGGAGGCGGACAGGAGACCTGGCTGCCTCTAGGTCTCGGCTCACCTCCTGGCCACGTCTCTCAAAAACAAACAAACAAACAAACAAACAAAACGGAAAGAAAAAAAAGAACTGTTACCTCCTTCTCTCTTAGTTAATTAGCAAACCTCATCCCATTTACAGAGATTCTCAGTTTCAGGCTCCCGAGCCTCCAGCAGTTTGGGGGTGGTGGTGGTGTGTGTGTGTGTGTGTGTGTGGGGGGGTGTTTTCAAGGCAGAGAGAGGACCCGCTGAGGTGCGAAGCAGCTGAGGGCTGAGACCTGTGTCCCGGGAGAAGCGGGCTCACCGGGGGCGCACACTGTAAAAACTGCTGTGAAGTAAAAGGTTAAATGAGGTCCCCTCGGACTCGACCTCGAAAGCCTGTTTCAAAGTTAAAACCGGTGTCTGTACCTTTGAGTGTGTGTGCTTTTTAATTTACTGATTGGCCAGAAAAAAGAGGGGTCTAAGATAAGCTCCTTTATAAAACAGAACCCTCTCCACACAACCTGCCTTAAATAAGGATGCTTGCTATGGAATTTGGGCTCAGTGCTGTTCATGCACTTATTCTCGGAGTTTCTTTCATACCAAGCTCCTCTCCTAAAGGACTGGATGAAGTAACTTGCATGAATGTCCTCGGGATTCACTCGGTTCGTCTGCTTTGCGCCAGGCGTCGCGCTAAGTGCTGGGGCCACCGGGCGGACAAAATTGACCCCGCAGGGCTGGACCACAATGACCGGCCGATCTGCACGCGAATCCTCGTCTTGGCTCGTTTTGTTTGGTTCCTTTTATGCTTTGCTCACGCCCTTTTTGTGTCTCCTAATAGCAATGCCGTAAATCAAAATGATCAGAAGTAACTTTCTGCGAGGTGTGGGGGCGGAGAACCGGAGGAATCATGCAGCAGCACCGGGGTCAGCTGTGCTCCCCAGCCGCGCGCAGGGAGTTAAAGGAACCCGGGGCCCAGCTCTGGGGGCGGGCCCGGGGGCCTCTCCGCCATAGGCTGTTCCGAAGAGACGTTATAAACAAAGCCTCTGGCCAATAGACGTGCGGGTCCCACGCCAGTGGCTTGCAGGCCGTCCAATGTGAGAACACGTTGGAGGCACCCGACCAACTTCAGTTTCGGGAGCAGCTGAGAGCTTGGCGAGGGGTCTGCAAGGCGTCGGGATCTGGCTGCGGAGGTCGCTGGTTTGACTGTCCCGACTCGGTTGTGACGGTCGCAATGTTTTTCTCCCAGGCCGGGGCACGGGCACGGCCACGCACGTGGGAAGCCAGCCCCTCAGAGCACAAGAAATGGGTGGAAGTAGGTGTCTCGGATTTTAACTTGACTCGGAGCTTTTACTTTGGGCACCCTTCCTGGGTCTTACCGAGCCTCCTTGCAGAGACCAGGAGGAGACTGCACTTGCAAAGTGTCATTGTTAGTGACTGAGCCTAGCGCTGCAAGGTTCTGGCTCCCTGTCCTGTGTTCTGGCTACTTCTCAGTCCCGTCCCTTCTCCGGTAATCTGCCTTTCAAAGCAAGCCCCTTTGCCTCACCTTCCTAATTCTAGGACTGAATTTTGGGTAGAAATTATCCCCAAAATTTAAAGGAACGTATTTGAGTTAGTTTAGCGATTAAGTCGTTGGAACTTTTGAGGTGTACATTTTAGCCCATCATTAAGATTTCTCGAGAATTAAAAGTAGTATAATGAAACTCCATTTCCGAGCCTACTGGTGGGCCGAGTTTTAGATTTCGGAGGTTCACATTGAAATCAAACTAGTAATAAAATTAATAGAACAAATGGTTTCTGTCTTAACTAACGACATTTAATGTTCTTTAGGTATTCAAAGCATGTGATGAAGATAACAAAGGCTATCTTAGCAGAGAGGACTTTAAAGTTGCTGTTGTAATGCTGTTTGGGTACAAGCCCTCCAAGGTACAGCTTTCTTTATGTATTTGGGGATGGGGATGGACATACAACGATCCTAATGGTGAATGGATCCTGATGGTAAAGTACAGAGGGCTAGCTTAGGATATTTATTAAGTTAATCGCTGCGTTAAAAGCAGCTTGAAATATGCTCAGTGCTGAATTTTGCTCTTTTTTCCTTCAGAATCTAACTCAGGGATGAATTGGAAAGCTACTTCACTAGAGCCCAGGCTGCTAATAATTATAATAAATATGAGATGCTAGAAAGATATGAAGAGAGAAGGTTGGGAGGGTGGTGATGGTAACAGGAGGAAGTCACAGAGGAAGTGACACGCAGGTTGTTATTATTATTTAAAAAATGTTTTTCTTTGTTTAAATGATAAAAGTAATAATTAACCTACTAAAAAATTCAAACAGTGTAGAAAAGTATAAAGGTGAATGTAACCCCCCCCCCCACTAGAGGGTCCCACTTAGGGGTTAACATTATTAAATTTCTTGTGTATCATTCTAAAATTTCCTATGCATGACCAACACATACATGCATGGCATTCTATTGAAAACATAACTTTCTTTTTTGACTTAAAAATAACTGAACATAAAAGCTCACACCACCACCACATTTTTAAAAATAGTTGCATAGCCCAGCCAGTGTGGCTCAGTGGATTGAGCATCATCCCATGGACTGAGAGGTCCGGGTTCCATTCCCAGTCAGGGTTGCAGGCTCATCTCCAGGGTTGCAGGGATGCAGGAGGCAGCCAATTGATGTATCTATCTCTCTCACATCAATGTTTCTCTCTCCCTTCCTCTCTCTAAAAATATCAGTAAAATATATTTTAAAAAATAGCTGCATAGTATTCTCATTAGCTAGTTTCCTATTTTTGGTCATTTCCTGTTTTTGGTCATTTAGACTTTTCCCCTTATTTTTTGTTTCTACAAACATTGCTACAGTGAGCATCCTTTTATATTTATATTTGTGTTTGGGCACGCACATCTGTGGAATAAATTCCTAGATGTACAATTCCTAGGTACGTATGAAATTTTGTTGGATATTGGTCTCCAGGAAAGATTGCATTAATTCACTAATGAGAGTTGAGCTGAATTTCAATGAATCTCCTACCTTGGTAGGGCAAGTTCCCCCACCCCTCCACCCCCATCTCCCAATCTTTGTGCTGCTCCCCATGCCTGTTACATCACATTCTAGAAATGGATCCCTCTTGTTAAGCTTCTGAACTGAAATTAATCAGAGGCAAGATCTTGTCCAGGCTGAAGAAATTCAGCTGCCGTCATCAAGCAAGGGAACACTCAGGACTGCCTGGAATGCCCTCCCTTATGTCCTTATTAGGCCACCAAGTAAGACAGCTTGGCAATAACTTTGACCATCGTTGCTTAAGAGTTGGGGCTCTACCTATCAGACTACAAGCCCAGTGAAGCCAGGGACCCCATGATGTCCCACTTCTCCATCCTTCATTATGCTTAAATGCATCACAACTCCAAGTAAATATGGCCTTTTGACGCAGATAGATCCCATGAATACTCCAGATGGGTTCACAGTGGTTCAACTACTGGGGGATGTTAGTCACTGAGAGGCTGATTACTGAGCTGGCTGATGTAGGGCTGGCTCCCAGAAATTGCAGCTCTTCTCTTATCCTGCAGTCATTTCAGCTGGAATTTTAAAGCAGGTTAGCTAAGCAGACACAGCCTTTGAAGCATTGTGTGTAACCTGGTTCGGCGGGAAAGATATCTGGCTGCCTGCCTTAATCACCCTTGAGTATACTTGGTTGGTTTTAATTTTAGAACTTAAGTGAGGAACTAAATGACAGGTACAGTGATGTGGTAACTTATGTATGTGCACCCCATGAAATGGATTTTAGCTTTTATTTTCATACCTGGTGGAGGTTTTGGATTTTATTTTATTTTATTTAGAGAGAGAGGAAGGAAGAGAGAGAAACATCAATTGATGTCTCCTGCATGCCCCCTACTGGGGATTGAGCCTGCAATCCCATCATGTGCCCTTGACCAGGAATCGAACTGGGGACCTTTCATTCCGTGGGAGACAGTCAATCCACTGAGCCACACCGGCTGAGCTGGATTGTATTTTTTTTTTTTTTTTTATCCTCATCCGAGGATATTTTTCCATTTTTTGTACAGATAGAGTGGGAGGGAGAGAGAGGAAGGGAGAGAGAGAGAGAAACATCGACGTGAAGGGACACATCGAGTGGCTGCCACCCGCACGACCAACCAGGGCCGGGGACAAACTGCAACCGAAGTACGTGCCCTCAGCGGGAACCGAACCTGGGTCTCTCCGGACCGCAGGCTGACGCTCTAACTGCTGAGCCAAACTGGCCAGGGCTGGATTGTATTTTTTAATTTAATGAAATGTTTATTGACTGCAGATCACTAAATGGTCAAGTACTGATATAGCAGATCACCTATAACACACTTACAGTCTTTTATACAGTGAAGTTTTATTAAACAAGTAACACACAATGTGTACCCTGAGTGAAATGTAACAGGTTTTTACTTTTATACCAAGTTGAGGTTTGGGGTTTTATTTTTTATTTGTTTATTTTTTTATCCTCACCCGAGGACACTTTTTTCATTTTTTTGTTCTGATAGAGTGGGAGAGGGAGAGAGGAAGAGAAAGAGAGAGAGAAACATTGACGTGAAAGGGACACATCGAGTGGCTGCCACCCGCATGACCAACCAGGTCCGGGGACAAACTGCAACCAAGGTACGCGCCCTTAGTGGGAACCGAACCCGGGTCTCTCTGGACCGCAGGCCGACGCTCTAACTGCCGAGCCAAACCGGCCAGGGCTGGGGTTTTATTTTTGAGTGTTGTTCTTGAGCAAATGAAATATTTACTGAATGCAGGTCATGAAGCAGTAAAGCACTTGTGTAATAAATCACTTACACACTTATGCAATTGTTCACACAATGAAATTTATTGTGTTCCTATTTAATAAAAAGAACATTTGCTGGTAGCTAGTGATATAAAGGTGAAGAAAACATTGACCCTACTTTGAAACAGTTTACAATTTAGTGTAGAGAGACTTATAAAACTGATAAATGCTAAGATAGAGAAGAACAGGAAGTGAAGGGGACAAGGAGGAGGGTCTAAGTCTAGTGGCAACTGTGAGAGGAGTCCAAGTGTCACTTACTAGAGGAGCTAGACCTCTGATAGGCAGTGTCCGGGAGCACTTGGTGGCAGTGGGAGAGGTTGTGCCTTTATGATTGGATGTGGTGGCGGTAAGAGAGCGGTGTGACACCAGGACTGAGGCGATTGTGATGCCACCAAGTAAGAAAATTCGGGAGTAGGTTTCAGGGGAGAGCCAGTGAGTTCAGATGGGGGCACATTAAGTCTGAGGAGGCCATGAGCATGCCAAGTGCCTTCGCTCATTAAAGACTGTGCTGGTGCCGGGGTTATGGTGGTAAAGGTCTGCTCTCAGATTGTGCCGCCTCTGAGACACAGAAATCTGAAACTGGGTGGAGGGGTGAGGGCTGGAGATAGGCTGGGGACTCCTCAGTTTACAGGACACTGGATGGCATTGCCCAAGAAGAGTGAAGGGCAGTAGCTTGAGGGTGGAACCAACATTTAAGGGTAGGCAGGGGGCTCCATGAAGAAGATGCAGTAGGAACCGTCTGGGGGAGGCCAGAGGAACTGGGACAGTGTCAGGCATGGACTCCAAGGTGGAGAAACCATGTCGGGTCCTGCCAAGGTTCTAATTCCATAATGTTTCTCATATTTCAATTTAGTGAAAACAGGTCCCTAAACTTTATATAGTGTGTTCTCAAATGTGTTTAAAATGCATAGACAAACAAGGTCAAACTATTCATGGTTTTCACTGGATGGCTGAATTTAAAACTTTTTCATGCCCTGGCCGGTTTGGCTCAGCGGTTCGAGCATTGGCACGCGGACCAATGAGTCGCAGGTTCGATTCCGGTCAAGGGCACATATCTCGGTTGTGATTTGTCCCCGGCCCTGGTTGGGGTCATGCAGGAGGCAGCCTCTTGATGTTTCCCTTTTACTTTGCTGTTTCTCTCTCTCTCTCTTTTTCTCTCTTCCTCCCACTCTATCTGAACAAAAGTGGTAAAATGTCCTCAGGTGAGGATAAAAAACAAAACAAAACAAAAAACAAAACAAAACACAACTTGTTTTCTTCATAATTTTTATATTTTAAAATTTTCAACATGTTACTCTTACAGTCGGGAAAAATTAAAAAATAAAACCATTGAAAAAAAAAAAGCCCATGGTAACAATTTCTATGTTTGTCTAAAACAAAAGGGTTAACTTTTAGGTTATGCTACCTATGGGAGAGCCAAGGTGCTTTTACATGCTTAAACTGTGTGGGGCAATGGAGTCAAGTTTTGGGGTCATTAGAGCCTGTAGCAGATTAGCACGTGGTATCTCATAGATGACAGAGTAAAATGACTATTATAGCTGTTCTGTGGCATTACATGTTTGCAGGGCTCAGCAAAGTTGGTTTCTCATAAAATGCATCCCTTCCCCACACCCCAGGAATGAAGAACTGTCACTGAAATTATATGCCCTATTATTCTTTCTTCTTTTCTAGATAGAGGCCGATGCTGTGATGTCTTCAGTAAATCCAAGCACTTCTGGTAAATAATAGTTAACATTAGTTTTTTAGTGTCCTTATTTAGACATTCATGAAACTAAAACTAAGAGCAAATAAGAGACTATAAAGCATTGTGTTTAAGCACATCTTTGTTTTGTTCTGTTTCAAAGAAGGAAGTTTTGTTTTGGGCCCTGGCCGGTTTTCTCAGTGGTTAGCACGTGAGCCTGTGGACCCAAGGGGCATGGGTTTGATACCTGGTCAAGGGCACACACCTGGGTTGCAGGTTCGATCCCTAGCTTCGGTCAGGGTCATGTGGCAGGCAACCAATCAATGTGTCTCTCTCACATCGATTTTTTTTCTCTCTCTCTCCCTCCCTCCCTCCATTCCACTCTATTTAAAAATCAATGGAAAAATATCCTCAGGTGAGAATTCACAGAAAAAAAAAAGTTTAGTTCTTTTAATTTTGATGAATTTACGTATTTATAAGTATACATTTATTGTAGGAAAAATGTAAACCATTGACAACATAAAGAAAAAAAAAAAAAGTTGCTTATAATTTCAACATCCAGTGTATGATCTGGGCTTCTGACCTGAGCAGCTTGAGTGGCACGTACTGAAATGGGAAGATGCGGGGAGGGTTTGGGGGAACCAAGAGTCCAATTTTGAGAAGATTCAAGCAATGAGGTCAAGACAGTTGGGCTGTATGAATAGGGGATTCAGAGCAAAACCGTGGGCTGAAGAAATACATTTGGAAGTCATCAGCATGGAGATGTTTTTGAAGCCATGGAAATGGATGAGACCACCTGGTGAGGCAGAAGGGACTGAGAACCTTAGGAACTAGAACCACCAGAGATCAGGTAGAGGGTGAGGAGGAAATGGATAAAGGAGAGTTTGGAGGGGCAAAGGGGCAGGGGGGAATCGAGTGTTTGATCCAAAGCCAAGAGAAGTGACTGTTTCAAGGAAGCGCGTGTGGTCAGCACTATCAAATGCAGCGGGAGAGTCAGGTAGCATAAGGACTCAAGAGGATCCATGGGTGCTCGCAACCTGGGGGTGTTTGGTGTCTTTAGCAAAGCAGTTTCAGAGTGTGGCAGTGGCAGAGGCCAGGCTGGAGTGGGCTGAAGATAGATGGAAATTTATATCAATACTATATTTTTATCTAATTTCTCATCTGTATTTCACTGTCACTTGATCTGATAATGCCCTTGGCAGCGTCTTTCCTCATGTATGACAGGACCTTTCTTTGATGTCATGTCTCTTTAGCCCCCTTTAAGCTGGAATGTTTCTGTAGACTGGTTTTTTGTTTTTTCCTTTTTATAACATTGATATTTTGAGGAACTAGCCTCACTGTTTTTTGTTTTGCTTTGTTTGCCTTTTATGTTTGCCTAATGTTTCTTTGTAATTAGGTTGAAGTTGAGCCTTCTCAACCAGAATTCTGTCTGGGGGACATGTCCCTCCTGGGGTGCCACATCCGGAGGCACAAATGTCTGTCTCGCATAGATAATATTAACTTTTATCAGGGGTCAAGGTGCTGTCCAATTTCTCCATTGTATTATCTCTTTTTATATTTCCTTCCCTTGCAACTAATAAGCAGTGTGTGGAAAGACACGTTTTTGAGATAATGCAGATATGCTGCTTCTCATCAAAATTTTCTCCTAGATTTGGCATCTATTCATGACTCTTGTTTGACCTAGTTTTTGCCATAAATGGTGGCAAAATAATGATTTTCTAATCCCAGTGCTTCTTTTAGCTCTTGGCATTTTACCATAAGCAAGAGATGTCTCTTCTTGATCGAGCGACTGATCCATCTACCTACCTTATCAGTATGGACTTGTGAATTTCTATGCTTTTAATGACTTATGATTCATTACCATATGTGATTATTTTTGTGCTCGACTTGTCACAGGCTTGGCCATTGAATTCCTCTTCAAGCTGGCTCCTCTGTTCTTTTGACTGGTTTGACTTTTTCTTTTAATTAATTAATTTATTTTTGTTACAGATGTTTCTCCTTTTCCCCCCACTGATTCCCTCCTCCCCCTCCCTCCCCGCCCTGTCCCCAGCTTTGTTGTCCATGTTCAATGTTCATGCATATATGCATATAAGTTCTGTGGTGTATCTCTCCCCAACCGCTCCCTCTTCTGGGGATTGTCAGTCTGTACCCCATTTCCACGTCTGGGACTACCCCATTCCTCAGACTGTTATGTTCATCATATTCCACAAATAAGTAAGATCATGTGATACTTGTCTTTCTCTGTTTGGTTTGTTTCGCTTAGGATAATACTTTCCAGGTCCCTCCATGTTGTCTCAAAGGATAAGAGATCTTTCTTTCTTACAGCTGCATAGTACTCCATTGTGTATATGTACCACAGCTTTTTTATCTATTCGTCAACTGATGGACATTTGGGCTGTTTCCAGATTTTAGCTATTATAAATAGTGCTGCTATGAACATGGGGGTACATATATTCTTTCTGATTGGTGTTTCAGGCTTCTTAGGGTATATTCCTAGAAGTGGGATCACTGGGTCAAATGGCAGTTCAATTTTTAACTTTTTGAGGTAACACCATATTGTTTTCCATAGTGGCTGCACCAATCTGCATTCCCACCAGCAGTGTACCAGAGTCCCCTTTTCTCCACACCCTTGCCAACACTTGTTTGATGATTTGTTGATGGCAGCCATTCTGACAGGTGTGAGGTGACAGCTCATTGTTGTTTTAAGACCTTTTCTTTCTTGTAAAAAAGGTTTTATTTATGCCTGCCCAGAATGGCTTAATTGGCTGAGTGGCGTTCTGTGCACTGACCAGTTCCATTCCTGGTTAGGGCACCTGGGTTGCAGGTTCAATCACCAGTCCAGGCACATATGGAAGGCAACTGATTGATGTCTCTGTCTGTCTGTCTCTCTCTCTGTCTCTGTCTCTCTCCCTCTCCCCCCTCCCTTTCTTCCTCTCTCTAAGCATGTCCTTGAGTGAGGATTAATAAAAAAAATATTTTATTTATGAATGTTAGATTTACAGAAGAGTTTACTAGACTGATTTTTTTGTTTTGTTGTTTTTTTCTTTTGTATACAAGGTTTGGTATCATGTAGGGAACGTGACTTGTAGAACAGTATTATTGCTAGCAGAACGTGTTTTACATACTCTCTAGCTTGATGGAATTTTCCCAGGTTATTTAAACATTGGTTCTTTGATGTTCAATTAGTTGTAACATTTCCCACTTTTTTTTTTTTTGCACTGCTAAGGTTTTTCTCCTTTAGGAGTCCCCTGAGATCCAGGAAGCAATTCTGCCTGGATGAAAGTCTTCCTGCACTCATTGTTTTGATACATAATTTTGTGATTTTTCTGATACAGCAAATGTGACTGTTGGTGAAATCTCTCTCTCATCCATTTTTCTTATAGGGTTTCTCCCTTATGTATAATCTCTCATTCTTTAAAAAAATTGTTTTTTCTTTATTGAATTTAGAGAGAGGAAGGGAGAGGGAGAAAGAGATAAAAGCATCAATGAGAGAAAACATCGATTGGCCGCCTCCTGCATGACCCCCACTGGGGATCGGGCCTAAAACCTGGGTATGTGCCCTGACCGGGGATCGAACTGGTGACCTCTTGGTGCATGGGTTGATGCCCAACCACTGAGCCACACCAGCTGGGCTACTCTCTCATTCTGAATTCAGGATTTGACTTCACACAGAAGGTTTTTCTTTCCTTCACCAGTTCTTTGATGGATAGAGTGGTGTTATTCTGGAAGAAAGATTTCCCATGTTCTTTACAGGTATAGTGAGTTCTCTGATGTAGAATAAAGATTGACTTCTAGCAGAACTTTCCCCCACATTCAATATCATAAGTTCCCCCCGCCCCATATGAGTATCTCACGTTTAGTAAGATACGACTTCATAAAAAGGGGTTTTCACATGTGATAACATTCACATGCTTTCTCTCCTGTGTGGGGAACTTGATGTACAGTGAAGAGTCAATTCTGGTAGGTTTTCCCACCTTCTTCCCTGAGTGATGTAAAGTGAGGACTGATGTGTGGCAAAAGGATGCTCCCAGTATTGGTTGTTAGTTTACTCCCCCTCCCCCCACCCCATGTTCGAGAGCTTTGACTTGTGGCTGAAGATATGTTCATGAAATTTACAAAATTTCCTCTCCTCTGTGAGTTCTCCAATTCTTGAATTTTGACTTCATGCAGAAATACTCCTGATGTGTGTTGCGGGTTGAGAGCTTCCTTTGGGTGTGAATTTGAAAGCTCACAAGGGCTGCCGTCCCGTGGTCTGTCCGTGCCCGAGTTCTCTCGTGTCTGTTGAAGACTGCTTTATTATGGAGCGTTTTCTCAAATTCAGTGTGGTCCAAGGATTGCTTCACAGGTGGAATCTTTTTGATACTGAAAGGAGGTTTCCCTCTGAGGGCTTTTCGACTGGATGGTGCACTCCCGGACCCGCTCCCCTGAGGATTTCCTTGCATTTAATATCAAGGATACTGCATCGACTCTCACGTCCGCTTCTCAAGCAGATCATTAGGGGGCTTCCCTGCGCAGCATCTCTTCCTAATAATTAATTTTAAAATATAGTTCAAAAGGTTACAATGTAAATAAGTCATCTGTGAAACAGTGGGCTGGAGGGATGACTTCCAAATGTTGGTGCGTGACCTTGCTCCGGAATGACTGTGGAAGGGCTCTCCTGGGTCTGCAGGCTCTTAGTCTTCTCCCTCCCTCCTCTGGTCTTGACGTCAGTGTCAAATTAACTTTCTCAAAGCACCACTTTCCTCATGATTTAAAGGAATCGACTTGTAGCCAGGGTGCTACCTCTCTAACTAGCTTCCATTTGTGTTCACTTGAAAGGGGAGACGCATGACCACAAACATCTAAGAGAAAGTAAAATACCCTCCCAGCAGGAAATTGCTGCTGAACTCTGATTACTGCTAACCTGCATTTTTTTTCCTGTCAGAACCTTCTGATACTGAACCAGTTTCAGGCCACCAACTCCCCCTTTTCTCCCTTTAGTGACCTAAGGCATAGCCCCGTGTTCTTGTTCTTGCAGGAAGAGGGTTTATGCACAG